TATATATATATATTATATATATATATATATATATATATATATATATATATATATATATATATATATATATATATATATATATATATATATATATATATATATATATATATATATATATATACATATATATATATATATATATATATATATATATATATATATATATATATATATATATATATATATATATATATATACATATTGCGCATTATGGAGCAATTATAATAAAGTGTCACTTGAAGCAAAAAAAAGGAAAAATACGAAAAAGACTTTGGAAAAATTAAGGCATTTAAAAATACAAAGAAAAGACAAAATACATTCACCACAATAGCTCCTAGAAAGGCCATGATCTATGACCACACCAAATATTTTCGTCTTTTTCCTTTGAATGCGATCGTTAAGCACATTGATTCGAATTCATCTCGAGGAGTAAACAGTGCATCAACGTCCTAGACATTCCAAAACAAAACGAAAATAAAAGAAAACGTGTTTATTGTGATCTTGAGAGCTCTGTCGGATAGCGTAGGAACGTGAGCTCATTCGTGGAGCTCATTTGATATACTCTATTTTGGGAGCTTTTTACTTGTAATTTTAAGGATATTTTTTTGGGTTGAATAAACGTACATCAGCTCATTTTTGTCTTTGTATTTCCTGTAATATGTTCACGAGGTTACTTTCTGAGAATGGGACTGAGTAAGGTTTATTTCCTCATAAAAAATTATAATAATTATAATAAAAAAAAGAAAAAAAAAGAAAAAATGACATATGGCAAAATTCGCGATTTGTTCTTATGACATTACTTTGATAATGAAATAAGGAGGTGATATCTGCATGTGTCACTTTTCATACTTTTTTTAAATAACTACAAGGCGAATTAAAATTTAAAAAAATCCAATATTCAATTTAGGAAATCTTGTTCAACAAAACATTAAATCAAATAGATATCAATCCACAATAGTAATGAACTAATCTGTCTCCCCGCTGCAAGTCAATGATATAAAAAAAAACTCTTTCTCGAGTCAACAAGATTTTGATGGAATGTAACGAGGAATTTCATCTGTTGTCACCTTTTCACGCCCTATAGTTTCGTAACAACTGAAAATGATGGGTAATAGTAATAATGATAGTCACATGGACAGATGATGACAGTAAAAACGATAAAAAAGTGAACGTTGATCAAACTATCATATTTAAAAAATAGGTTAATAAATAAATGAAGAAGAAGAAAAAACTTTGGTAAAAGTTAGAACTGGTATGAAAAAAAATGTACTCACCGCAGCTTTCATAATGAAATAATGATGCCAGAAGTCAATAGGTCAGATCGTTACGTCAGCCATACGAACGACAGCAAGAGTACGAAAAAAACGCTTTTATGTTTCACCAGAACAGCATTTGACAGAAACACACGCCGTGGATGTAAAAAAATTGTCAGAAAGCATAGAAAAAAAAATATCCGGTGACTGAACAAAAAGAGAATGATAGAGTATGGAAAAAAACTACCATACAGTCCACACGCAAACCACACAAGCCGAAGGTAAATTTGAAATAATAATAATAATAATAATAATCATCATAATAATAACGATAATAATAATAATGGTAATAGCAATAATAATAATAATAATAATAATAATAATAATAATTATAATAATAATAATAATAATAATGAGAATAATAATGATAATGATGATAATAATAATAATAACAACAATAACAATAATAATAATAATAATAACAATAATAATAATAATAATAATAATTTTGAAAACCCTAGGTCTAACACCCTTCGAACTCTGACCCGCGAACGAAATTTCTTCCCGCAAAGTTTCGTCGCCCGTCTGCCGCAGCTGGACGACGCCATTACGCACTCAGGACGTGGCCCTATCACACGGAATGAATCTTATCCTGACCTCGCAGCTTAGCAACCCGCATGCTCGTCCACAAGTCGAGCCGCGGGCGTTTGATGAAGGGGGGGGGGGAGGAAGGGGTGTGGGCCAAGGCGTTGGAGTGCGCTGAGTGAGGCGAAGCATGAGTACAAACTGGGGAATGTAATTTGTTTGGGTGTACGTGGGGAGACATACGCTGATACATACGCACGCACACACGTACACACGCACACACATACACACACACACACACACACACACACCACACACACACACACCACACACACACACACACACACCACACACACACACACACACACACACACACACACACACACACACACACACCACACACACACACACACACACACACACACACACACACACACACACACACACACACCACACACACACACACACCACACACACACACACCACACACACACACACACACACACACACCACACACACACACACACACACACCACACACACACACACACACACACACACACACACACACACACACACACACCACACACACACACACACACACACACACACACACACACACACACACACACACACACCACACACACACACACCACACACACA